AAAAAAAAAAAAAAGGAAGTGAAGGGAACTTGGAATGCCACTGCAATACAAGACAATGAAACTTGATTGAAGAAAAAAAAATACACATACCATAAAGACACGTGTACAGGGTTTTGAAAAGAAAGGGTAGCTTCAAGGGGCGGTTGATTAAAATTAAAATGCACATAACCCCAATAAAGGGGTACCAAATTAGGGGTATTTCTTACATGTTGTCGGCTTAGACTCGAAAATCGATATATTAAAAATCAAAGATAAGACTGTTTCACACTTAATTCTTACAGATTTTGTTACAAACAGGAACTTTAATTATTGTTTACTACCATTTTTAGGTCACATTAAACTTGATTCGAGGCGTCGATACTTTTATTCTCGGGTTCCCCTTGATCATGCTTGGTTTGGTCTTTGGCATCTCTGTTTTCGTCAAAATTGGGAAGGCAGCAAACTGTTTGTACCTCAGAAGTGCTTGACTTCACCATAGTAGGTAGTTTCTGCTCCTCTGCAGACTTCTTGTGGTTCTTGTAGATGGTGTAGAGTAGCATTTGAAGTAGTCCTAGCATGAATCCCAAAACGTTCGGAACCTATAATTTTAATATTCAAACAAACAACAAGGGCAAAATTTAAATGGAATGACTTTGAATGTGTCCGCCGGAACTTCTACGGCACCGAAGGCGATAACAATATTGAAAATTATAATTTTTTAAAGTTAAGTTATTATTTTTTTTATGTATAAGTTATAATTTAAATGACATGATCAATCATGAAATGTTAGAATCGATACCACATTTTTATGATCGATCATTATCTCCTTTAAACAATTATAAGTTATCCTTTTAAAATTGTAACTTTATCATCANATCCAGTTCGGTTAAAAGTAAGTCATTCATGTCAGAATAGAGTATTCATGAAAAATAAATTTCTCATAGTCTAGTTATTAAGATTTGAACTCAAAATTTCTATATTTATAACTTGTCCTTATTATCATTTGAATTANGTCAAATCACTTTTTGCAGAGAATTTATCAACTTTTAGAATGCATATACTTTTGGATTGACTTACCATTTTTCAGGGGAAGTTTATCACTTTTTAAGACTAAATTTATAATCTTTTAATTTTTTTTTATAATTTTTTGATAGTACAAAAAAATCAATAGCGTGTAATTTTTTTGATAATATTGAAAATAAGGTCTTTTATTTTCAATATTAAAATTTTATTTAAAATTAATTTATTTTTAATTTTTTATGTGTGTGTAATAGAGGGAGAGTGAGTCAGTGTTGCGGAGATAAATGTTTTAAGTTTTGTTTTTATTTTTGATTTTTGTTAGAGAGAGAGAGTATGACTTCACTTTTGAGTAGATTTTTTTTACAGCAATGTTATTGGGATCTAATTTATTATGATCTTTGGATTGACTGTGAACCCCATCAAATATTAAAATTTAGTGTTGATCAAATTATTCTATTGAAACCACATCATTAGGTCAACAAATTAAGTCATATTTTTAAGTCCAAATAACATTACTCTTTTTTTATACTTTTAGTTGTTTTTTTTAACTTTTGATTTTTTGGGTTTTTAATTTTATGGGTTGAATCATTGACCCAAATTATTGAAATTAAAATTTTTGATTTGAATTAATTTTTTTGGAATCTTTTAGTAGAACTTAAGCTAACTAAATAACTAAAATTATGGGATCCTCTCAAATTAAGGAACTAAAGCCCAAGCTTTATTAACTATGAGATAAGGTCGGCCGTGAATTGAGGTTGTGTGCCACATCACTTGCAATGATAATTTTATACAAAATTTTTGAGAAGCCAATGGTTATGGTTATGATTATGGTTATGCAAATAAGGATGATGATGAAATTAGAACATTGGCCCCACTAGGCTCTATGCCACGTTTTCATTTTATGCACGTCGAAGGTTTGTTCTATCATGTTGGGATGGGATAGGAGTTATGGCGTTGTAAGAAAGTTGGTTGAATCTTCTCAAGGTAGGGACGAGCCCCAAACAAATGTAATTGGAACAATTCTTCGTTATTAACAAACGAAGAGCACTTACCCCGATATAGATGTCCTTTAGTAGTAAACCGTAAAAGAACCACATGACAGCACTCATTGCGAGGAAAAATGACAGCCAAAATGGCATGAACTCTACACTCTTGGTGCGTATGACCTGTGCCTGCATGGCAAAGCAAAGGAAATATTATGAGAAGTTTCCATAGAAAACCATGTTTTCTTGTATCAAAGAATGCATGTATTAATGCCACACTCCTCACCATGATACTTAAAGGTGCTGCAAATACACTCACAGACAGTGCCATACATATCCATCCTACTACTCGAACTCGATTCAATCCTTTTAAGAAGAAGATTGTGAGAATCATAATCGACCAAAATCCCCCAAAATTCAGAAGTAGTAATAATTTCAACGTCAGAATCTGCAATGACAGCCCGAGTTAATAGTTACTCAAAAAAAAACCCTATTATTATCAAAAAATAAAGAACTTTCGTGCAATGGATTAGGGTTTCGAGCAGTACCCTGGCACTTTTTAGTGCATAAACAATGTACAAGGCAATATAAATGGTCTCTATGACACAACCGGCCGCGTTAATGGTGATGAGGAGGATAGCATTGGATTTGAGCCATGCATAGTATATCCACAACATGGAACTAAAGAGTGCAACCACATATGGGACTGATTGAAAGTCTTCAGTTGATTTTTTCTTGAAAATCCTGGAAAATGTTGGTCTGCAAGGATGATTCATATTTACCTCTAGTTAGTCCTCTAAGAACTTCAATTAATGGAGTTGTGAAATGGAAAAATTATTATTGAGAAGAACGATTAAACGACAAACTTACACCGGGGCAAGATACACCATAAAGGAAAGAATGTTACCTGTAACATTGTCACAATCCAAAAGAAAAGTAAATGAATTAGTAACACTGTCACAACACAAAAGAGATGTAGATGAATCGCACCAGAAGCTTAGCTTAAGCTTAAAAAAGGCATATACTTGGCCAAAGTGGTCAGATTTTTCGGTTTAATTGGAAATCTTTCTAACCGTGTACGTAATCTTTAGACTAATTATTCTAACTCGGAAAACACATGTTCACACTTCTAAAACCTTCATCCTAGATAGAGAAACATGGATATATATTGCAATGCAATCACATTAACACTATTTGAAGAAATAGCTGACGGGTGACTAAAATGACTGTGATTTTACCTAAAATACCAAAGGCAAAAACCCAAGCATGGTCAATGGAAAACATGACTTCTCTCTCTCTCTCTCAAGGATGGAATTTGAAACAACAAAGGTTCTACAGAACACCTAGCTTGGTTTGATCATCCAACCTATGCTACAACCCTGTTAAGTAGGTCTAACATATATATAGACAAGGGAGTATGTGTTGCTGCCACAATAATTGATTGGGCATGGTAGGCAGACAGATCAGCAGACAGATCAGCACCCACCAGCTGGGTAGCTGCCACGGTACCACCATTGATTATTGGAAGATTCTTGCAGAACGTCAAATAATGGCATGATAAATTAGTGACTTCTTGCAATTTGACATGCAACATAATGTATAGTTTGAAAATTAATACTCATTATATGTGTACAGTTTCATGGTAAAATATCACTATTATTAAAGAAATTAAATACGTAGTTTAGTAGTTAACTCGCAATGATATTAGATTAATGGTAGGACAAATGACAAGACATCAACACACCACATGTCAAGTTAATGTTCTTCAAACCGTTTTATATCAGAGTTTAATTGACACATAACTGATAGATTACATACTAATGAGATTTATGTTATACTTTCGAGTCCAAAATATACAAGTTTGAAACTATTACCTTGTATCAAAAAATTACTCTTTAGTGCATCTCCAACCATGACTCAAATTTGAGTAAAAAGTTTGATTTGGTATAGAATACTTTAACGGATAAACTCAAATATCTATTCAAATCTTTTGCAAAATTCTCTTATTGTCTCAAAATCCTTTTTTTTTTTATTCAAATTATGATATTTGATAAAATAAATGAACTTTTATATCTCTCCACAAATGGGTAATTAAAAAAAAATGAATATGTATGCAACATAAAATGGAAATAAAGAAACCACCCTAAAATTTTAAGATTGTTCTAATCTCTTATCATTTTTTATAAATTTAGATAAAGAAAAAAGAATAAAAATAACTATTTTGACATAGACTTGGTATGAAGAACACAAAAACATATATTTTTAACAAGAATGAAAAATTGAAGAAATAAAATGACAAATTTTCTAAATTTATGAATAGCGAAGGCTTAAAATTTGAGGAAGAATTGGTGATCTAAAATTATACTACCGATAGTGTTTAACTTGAAAAAATCAAAGAAATTTTTGATTTCTTAAATTTTATTTACATGCAACACACGTGATGCATTGCTATTGAAAATTTTTTAAATTCGCAATTTGCTATTTCTGCTAATTTTACACTACTTTCATTTTGCTCATACAATTTAAGTTATTAATACAAAGTGCATGACCAGTGTATAAGAGTCTCGCAAACTGAATCGCAATTTTTTTATACTCTCGCAATTAAAGTAAAATGAGGATATCTATTGTTATTGTTTATTTAAAAAAAAAAAAGAGGAAGTGAAGGGAACTTGGGATGCCACTGCAATACAAGACAATGAAACTTGATTGAAAAAAAAAATACACATACCATGAAACGCCCCAAAAATTATTTTGGACGGCATTGCAATTTAAAATCAATCATATCATGAGAGTATTAATATAATCCATAAATAAATGGGACTTCATTCATCCTCCATAAAATATTTACAACATTACCCAAATTGATATGTCGAAGCATGACGTTTACATCCCAAAAATTTTACTGTCATAATGCAGCGGAATTACAAAAGAAACTAGGCTTCAAAATATTTAAAAATGCATTTCCTAGTCTAGAACAAAGATAATGTTGCTCTAAGTGTCCACCTCGGGATCCACGTTCCCTTCTATAGGAGTCTCCTAGTGTGCCGGTTCATCCACTCCCAACTTTTCCTCTAGAATATAATTTGAAAAATATTATTTGTAAAGGGTGAGCACTAAGCTCTGTAGCAACATTTCTCCCATACTCGAGCAAGGTTTAAAAAATCATATAAAAACGGTCGGTCATCTTTCACAAATAGCATATATGAATTTTGAAATAAAATCAGGACATTTAGACAATTCTTAAGTTTAAGCACAACCACAATTTATTGCATAAGGGAAATCAATATACAACTATTAATTCATTTCACCGTAAATCGTTTCTCCTAAGTTCTCGCGAAATCTCATACTTCTCAAGATTCTTGTAGAAACCATTTCTTGTACAATAAACCATAACCCACCACTATAATATACGACTAATAATTCATTCCACCATAAACCGTTTCTCTCAAGTTCTCGCGAAATCTCATACTTCCCAAGATTTTTGTAGAAATCATTTCTGGTACAATGAATAATAACCCACCATTGTATTCGTATCTCAGGTATGAAGTAAGATCTAGCATGGTCACCATTGAAAGCATCATGTCCCACATATCCACAAACACAAATCCTCGCAAGGATATCCAACTTTTGGGAAGGGCGTGTGTCAACACAATGACAACGATGAATCCAACCCAGGCATTAGTATACTAATCCTCTGACACGGCACCCGTGAGTTAATAGTGGTTTGATCATAGCAGGCACCAACCCCACTACGAGTGGTAGGATATGTCCAAACCTACACGGAGTAAGAAAACGTCTACCCACTCCATAATACCCAGTCAATTGTAGCCCATGTTTATCCAACCGACCACACAAGAGATACAATACCAATAATTCTATCATTAGCAAACAATTTCTAAAACCCTCAATTCCATAAGTATTTTCAAGAGCACAAGTAATTTCAACAATTCTCAAATTTTCACATGTATCATTTCAATAGAACATTGAAGAAAATACAAAAGATCATCAGCAATATCATTTTATTACTCAACACAAAGCACTAAGGTTTTGAAATCAAGAAGCAAGGAAGAATCAAAAGGAAAATTCATTACTCTTGAAAACTAAGGTTTTAAATCAAGAAAAAAAAGATTTCATGTGTATTCAACCCTAACTTTGTTTAAAACATAATAATAATTGCAAGAAGACCAAGAAACAAAGAACCCATAGCAAATACATAAGATTAGGAGTCAAAACATACATATATATTAGCCCTAGCATCAATGAACAAGAATGGAAGAAAACTCCTACCTTGTTTGTAATTTGGGAAGAAATGTAGAAGATTTGATCTTTCCCCCAAGTTGAATCCACTCTTAATCTCTTGTTTTTCTCCTACTTTCTTCCTCTCTAGGATTTTCTAGGGTTATAAGTATTGAAATGGGGTTAAAGAAGGCGTCCTACTGTATTTATAAGGTGAGAAACGAAGACAAAACCTGAAATCGGGTCGAACTAGGTTTTACCGAGCGTACCGGTACTGTGTACCGATACTATTTAGCTTCTAGAGTTCGAAGTACCGGTACGTAGTATCGGTACGCTGTACCGGTACACTTTGTCTGCTGAAACTTCCAGCGTAATTTTGACCTATTTAAAGGATGAATTGGAGAATTTTTGTAAAATAAACTTTTGTAACTCTAGAAGTCTACTATCTATTGTTAAGATTTCAGATTAAATGGACTTCAGAATAAAAAGTTATGATCAAAACACTAGACAGTATCCAAAATCTTTTTTACCCAAATTCTCTCTAGAATGTGTTTTAACTCCGAAATACTTCCTCACTTCTAATATACCCCATATCACCTCTCCCAAGGTTTATCGACATTCTGGATTCAATGGAGACCTTATCTTGATTTAAAAATATTTAGAAACTTACCTAATCAATATTCTCCAAGTTAAACATATTCAAAACTAAATTTGACCCAAAAATCAATTTATCCAAAACTCAAATTTCATGATCAATCTCTCAACAATAATTCTAAGTTTCTAAAATCATTTTATTCATATTAGGAGAACTCTTAAGATAATTGTATCCTTATTTATTTTATTTTAATACGGGATCTTACATACCATAAAGACTCAAGTGCACAGGGTTGTGAAAATAAAGGGTAGCTTCAAGGGGCTGTTGATTAAAATTAAAATGCACACAACCCCAATAAAGGGGTACCAAATTAGGGGTATTTCTTACATGTTGTCGGCTCATACTCGAAAATTGATATATTAAAAATCAAAGATAAGACTGTTTCACACTTAATTCTTATAGATTTTGTTACAAACAGGAACTTTAATTATTGTTTACTACCATTTTTAGGTCACATTAAACTTGATTCGAGACGTCAATACTTTTATACTCGGGTTCCCCTTGATCATGCTTGGTTTGGTCTTTGGCATCTCTGTTTTCGTCAAAATTGGGAAGGCAGCAAACTGTTTGTACCTCAGAAGTGCTTGACTTCACCATAGTAGGTAGTTTCTGCTCCTCTGCAGACTTCTTGTGGTTCTTGTAGATGGTGTAGAGTAGCATTTGAAGTAGTCCTAGTACGAATCCCACAACGTTCGGAACCTATAATTTTAATATTCAAACAAACAACAAGGGGCAAAATTTAAAAGTAATGACTTTGAATATGTGTCTACGGAAACTAGCGACAACATTATCGAAAGTTATAATTTTTTTAAGTTAAGTTATTACTTTTTTTATGTATAAGTTACAACTTTAAATTATATGATTGATCATGGAATGTTAGAATCGATACCACATTTTTCGTGATCGATCATGAGTGTCTGTGATCGATCATGATCTCCTTTGAGCAGTTATAATTTCTCCTTTCAAAATTATAACTTTATCATATATATTAGTACCCAAAAAAATTAGTACCTCATCACTTGCAATTTTGTTTGGAGTGTCGTATCACTTTTTTGCGTAGAATTTATCAACTTTTAGAATGCATATACTTTTGGATTCACTTATCATTTTTTAAAGGAAGTTTATCGCTTTTTAAGACTAAATTTATAATCTTTTGATCTTTTATTTTCTTTTAATATCGGAAAAAAAATTAATAGCAATCCTACGAACCGCTGACATCCATTGCAGGATAAACCACAGTCTCTCAAGTTCTGCGACTGATTCTACCATAGAGGTTGGCTTCTTATCTACTATCACACTAAAAATTGAGCTTTTTTAATTAAACACCTCTTTTTTGTACCACTTTAATATAAACTATTAGATTAATAAATCCTGTTAAATTCATTAAATATTTAGAGGGTGAGATCAGGCAAATCAGATTTTGTGTATAAGTGTGCACAAAGATGGTACGCATATCA